GTAGTAGGTGTTACACAGGTCTAGTTTAAAGTAAATTTTAGTGTAGCTTAATTAATCTAAAGACTCTCTAATTAACAGAAGAAAGTGTTAGTTCTTTACTATAATAGTGTTAAAGCCCTAGTAGTTTATGTAAAGTTAAAGTGTTCTATTCTTTTTTTTTATAAATAAAACAAGGGCCTCTGCCTTTAATGTTAAGCAGCGTATTTATTCTTATTTTAGGTTTGTCTAGATATACTTTTATAAGACTTCTACCTTAGTAGTAAAGAGACTATAAAAGAGGCTATATAAAGGTTTTTTTTTTTATTTAAGTTAATTGCAAGCTTGTGTAGGCTATAGTTAGGCAGAAAAGAAGTGTTATGTTCTAAAAATGCTCTTTAAAACTTTTTTAGGTATACTAACAGCAGCCTAGGCTTCTTTAAAGTTAGTTAGGATGTGTAAGTAATTACTATTATAAACATATTATTATTAAAGTTTATTAGTACTTTTATAAATGCCTTTAAGCTGTCTAGACTAATCTTCTTATAAAGTTAGTAGTGTCTTTAGAAATAAACTATCTTATGTATAAAGTTAAAAGTTAAGTTTTATTTTTTTTAGCTAAGGCATGCCTAATATTATACTATAACTAAAGATTTTTATTATAAAAAAGGTAAATTTACTTACTTAAGACTGCCTTTTACTATTCTTAATATAGTAAAAGATGTTAGCCTTTTCTATAACCTCTAATAGCTGTCCTTTTAGAGATATAAAGGAGCTTAGGTCTACTAGGTTAACTACTACACCTGCTTATTTAGTAAGGTCTTAATCTAAGAAGTTTACCTCTGCCTTAAAGTTTATTATAGCTTAGTAGTAGTAAGAAAAGGTTAAACCTTTAATAGCTTTTAAAAAAGATATAAGTGTTACTTTTATAGCACTAGGCCTAGCTCTCTAGGTACTTGCTGCTGCTGCTTTCTGCCCCTCTAAGTATTCTACCTAGCCTATAAGACGCAGGGGGGGGTGTTCTAGAGCACAGCTTTTCCTGCTAGGTTGTTCTTTTTAAGAGGGCAGTTTCTTTACATATAGCTCTACTTATAATAGTTATAGTAGCTTTTTTTTTTCTAGTCTTTAGCTTTTTATGCCTTTTTAGCCTCTAACTTCTAAGGCCTAGCAGCTATAAAGTTATAAGGCTTTATATTATTTCTTTAGTGTTAGTTACTTTAGAGTTTTTTATAACTTACTTAGCTTTTTAAGGGGTGTTCTGCTTCTTTTAGAGGCCTTTTACTACCCCTACAGTTCCCTCCTGCCTAGAGGACCTGCTAGTGCTAGTTAGCCTCTATCTCTAATTTAAGAAGACTACTTTACACTCTTAGTTAAAAGTCTAGCCTGTACTGCACTTTTCTATCTAAGGTAAAGAAAAAGTTATATATTAAGTTTTAATTTAAGTTATTTAAAGCTTTAATAAAGTTAATATCCTCTTACTAGGTTTTAAAATAGTTAAGAAGTTTAGTAAAAGTTTAATTTCTTTAATTTATATTTTTAATTTTTTACTTAGCTAAATTTTTTTTTTTAAGCATATTTAAGAAAGCTTAATAGTGTTTCCTTTATAAAGCTTTAGTGTAATTAGGTTAGGTAGTTAACTATAAAGATTACATGTACTACCCTATCCTAATAGTTGCAGGGGTCCTCCCCTAGGTAGCGCTAGCAAAACTCCACCTATAATGCTGCATTTAGGAAGACTAAGAAGTTTTAAATGTATTCTTTATAGCTTTTAATATATGCTTATAGTTACTTATAAGACTTTTCTTTAAACTTTAGAGGTTAGTTAGGCTTAGGTAACTATAGCCTAAAAGGGGTGCCTACAGGAGCAGCTGTTCTAGGTGGGAATAATAAGGGTTAGCTAGTAGCTGTCTATAGGGGGGCTGCTAGCCCTAGCCCTACAGGGGTTAAGTTATTATAGAGGGAGTTATAAGGCCTTTAAAAAGATTATAATATTTCTCTTAATTAGTTCTTTTAAAGTTATTTTAGTTTTTTTCTTTTTTCTTTTACTTTTTTTTTTAGTTTTTCTTATTAGATCTTAGTATTTAGTTAGGTAATATTACTTATTATAATCTTCTTTAAGAGTGTCTTAGCCTAAGTAAAGAAGTCTAAGGGTGGTAGTCTTTAAAGGGGTTGCGCAGATGTCCCCCCTTTATTAGGTAGTCTGTTTGTAGAGGGAGTTTATAAGTTTTATACAACACTAGCTTAAGTAGCAACAGTTATGCTAAGTATTATTAAGTAAGTAAAGGATTATATTATAAAAAATAAGGTATACACTTTATAATTAAAAGGTGTATTAACTAATAAAAGTGTAACTATAACATAGAAGTATAATTAGTACTTACTTAATTCTTAAAGCAATCCTTTACTATCTAAAGAGGGCTTCTACAACTAGCTATATACTTCTCTAGAGAGCCAGGCACAGCAGCGCGGGTAGCAACAGATCTAGTATGCTGTAGGTCCAGTTCAAAGTATTACCTGTCTAGGATGCCTAGCTTTTTAGGCGAGGTAGGCATTATCTAGGAAGTGCGGGGTTAACAGCACAGTTTAGGAGTTGTCCAGGACTGCCTAGTGCAGTCTAGGCCAGTCTACGACAGCCTAGGAAACACCTGGATAGCCGGTCGTTACATTAAATACAGCTTATACTTTAAGCTTTTAAACAAGATATAAAACTTTTAAAGAAATATGCTATAGCTATATATAGAGTCTTATAAAAGATAATAAATAACTATAGCACTAGATAACATTTATAAGCTAATTCTATAGCTAAATTATAAAGGCTAGGTAATAAAAGAAGCAGGTAATTATTAAAACTATACTTAAGCTATATGCGTAAAGAATTTCCTCTTAAATAGCATTTATAGCTAATATAGCTAATTTTTTACGCGCTAAGTGTAATCTAGGCTATGTTTACATAAACTAGCCTAGTATGTTTGTAAAGTGTTATTTAGAGCTTAAAGTAACATTTAAGTGTAAGGATAACTATAAAAAAGCTTTTTATAAAAGTTCTAAAGTAATTTAAAGTAGGTTTAGCCTTATAAAGAATATTAAAGCTAAGTATAGCATCTAAAATAATAACATGTACAACTTTAGTAAGACAGGCTTAATAATTAGCTAAATATCTTTTAACTATACTTATACTTAAAACTTTACTTTAAGCTTTAAATAACACTTTATAAATGTACTAGGCTAGTTTATGTAAATATAGCCTAGATTACACTTAGCGCGTAAAAAATTAGCTATATTAGCTATAAATGCTATCTAAAGGGAAATTCTTTACGCTTATAGCTTAAGTATAGTTGTAATAATTCTCTACTTTTTTTTATTACCTAGCCTTTGTAATTTAGCTATAGAATTAGCTTGTAAACATTACCTAGCGCTATAGTTATTTATTATTTTTTATAGAACTTTATATATAGCTGTAGCACATTTTTTTAAGAGTTTTATGTCTTATTTAAAAGCTTTAAGTATAAGCTGTATCTAATGTTCTTTTAGTGTGTCTAAGTAGTATTATAGGGAATGCATTAGTATAGGAAGAGTAGTTTAGTAGGGTCTTAGCAAAAGTAAGTAACTTAGGTGTGTAAGCAACTCGCCTGTGAAGTACGTTAACGCTCTATAACGCTCCCTTAATAATCTAGCTAGCTAAGGAGATTATTATATGTTACTATAAGCAAGAAGAGGTTAAGAAATCTTACTTTAATTGCTATATAAAGGCGACAGTGTTACAGACGCATAAGCTTAAGGTTGCTAAGCGTAATCTTAAAGAGATTACATAAGTGTTAAAATTACATATAAAACAACAACAAACTAATTGTTGTGTTGTACAAGCTAGTAGGACGCTCTGCGTAAAAGATGCGTGCGAAGCTGTTATTGCGCGTAACAATAAGGATTAAAAGGGTGATCTAAAGGCTAGGGTATCTGCGGAAGCAGAGCCTTCAGCAGTGCCCCTAACACCTCCCCCCTTTGAAATTATTCAGTGGCAAATGCTAAAGACTAGCTAAAATACATGTATTTTACATACCTAAGCGAAACCCCTTAAAAATATCTATTCGTTGTACGCTTTCCTAAGCTTTAAGGTAGCTCTTTGCGACGCTTTTATGTTGAACCTGGTTTTCTGGTTGAACCCGGGAGGGCCAAGGGGACCCTCACCTTGGCGCGTGGGGCGAGTAGTATCTACTTTATGACAGTGCAACCCTTTTCTAAGTAAGGTTATAAACGGTTGCATGGGTTAGGAAAGCCACTCTCCATGGGTTCGAGAATAAATTGCTGCCGTCTCGCTATTTTTGGTGCACCGAACCTCCTTTGGTTTCGAAACTGCATGTGCGTGGCACAGCACAGTATGTTCACCCCCAGCGGTTCACCACCCCAGCGGAAACAGGGGGAGACACGAATCATTCTATCCCAGCAAGCAGCCTGAAAGGCTCGATGAAATTACTGCTACTATAGAGTGCATCGTTCTCGGGACGTTCGCGGGACGTTAGGAACGCTTAAACTAAGTTGAAAGTCAGGGGAGAACTTGTCACGCATGTCTACCGTCCTAGGATTGCGGTGTCTCTCTATGGCACGTGGTGTTTATCCATGGAGATCACGAAACCTTAATTGGCCGTCGTCTCACCTTCCTAGTTGATCGAAGGGTATGGGTAGGGCGGCTCCTGGCATACACTGCCCATTTGCGAAGTCAGGCGGAGTTCGCGGGGCTCCGTGCGTCGAGTCCCTTGTATGCCAAAGAAGCAGTCATATATAGGCCCTATAGCCTACTTTACAATCTTCTTAAGGTAACTCGTCTGCTTTCTGTGGGATCTCACACACCACATCTTCTTCAGCCTCATACGATTTGACCGTTATACGTTGATCAAGAGTCACAAATAATGCAGGTCTCATACTATACCGAAGATCAACATCTCATAGAACGGACCTCAGAAAACCCCCAGGATTCTCCGGCTTGGCAACGTGCAGAGTGCCCCACATCTTCTTCCAAGGATGCCATAATGCCTCATGAATCACAGAAGTCTCCCCCGGACAACGAAGCAGACGGAGGGCTCACATCCTCCAACGCCATGAATATGAAAGCGACCTCAGTCGTCAGGATTGTCGAGATAGTGCCCCCTGAAACCCCGAAATCGACTCGACCAGGATACACGACTCACGGCTCGGCGACATCAGTGGAAAGCGGGACGTCCTCTGACCCATTCGCGGATGATACATGGAGTAGCATTAGGTCAAACGACAAAGGTGTCTTATGGAGCACCAGCACTCCAATCACACCCCCGACCACTAGAGGGAGCGACAAGCCGACGTTGGTCGCCAGCCCTGAGTCTCCATTAGCACGAAAGATAAAATCTACACCGGGTGTTGTTGGAGATGCTACAGGAGAATACAGCACTCACGGGCAACATAGCGAGCCGTGTGAACCTCGATATAAAAAGATATTCCGAAACGCAACACTACCAATGGAAAATTGTACGCCACCCACAGCGTGTGCATTACTCTATTTTGATAACGTGAAACAGTGAATGCTGCTCGTGAGGCCCTTATTAAGGCTTCCAAGTTGGAGTTCTACAGTCAACCAAATACCTCATTCGGATTCCAGAGCAACGAGGATACCACCACTGCAACGACAAATGGGCATACAACAAGCGTTAGTCAGGGGGCTGGGAAAAGAGTAACTGCGACCCGAAAAGGGAGAGCTGCTTTTAGCGATGTCCTTGATGCTATCTTGCCGTCCACATTGCAGCAAAGAATCTCCGAGAGCATCAATTCCAGGAAATGTATTGCTTCACTTGTCAAGAACCCCGGTAAAAAGTGCAATTGGTCAGCGAAAAAATCGCAGGAGGCTCCAAAACGGCTGGAGATACTGGCCAGCAGCCTTGCACACAAGGACTATGACACTTTTCTCCCCAATCTTGAATCATTGCTTGCATCGGTTCTCTGTGGGACTCACTACAACTCAGCCATGCAGCCAGGAAAATTTGGGAGCCTAGAGAGGTTCGTTCAACAGCTTTTGCAAGCAGAAAGCTTCACCATTGCATCTTCAAACGTCTTGTTCGACTCCGAGCATGCCTCATTCCTTACATGGGCTGATACTATTTGCAAGATAAAGCTGGATATTCGTCACGATGCCTACATTAAACCCGAAACGGCCACCGCAGAAGAACTACAGATAACGGGGATTTCCACACCAACAGAAAAGCCCACAGTCTCGGCAGCCTCCAAGGCGGTGCTGGGGTGTATTATCCCTTTTGAGATCCATCAAAGGATCGCTGATGATGCCAGTAAATGTGTCGCCTCTTTACCAAAGAAGCCGGGGCAGAAGTGTGGGAATGCGGCAAAGGGACCCAAAAACGTTCAGCAGTTCCTTAATGCCCTAACGAAAGCACACAAACAACATGACTACCAGTCATTTCTAACCTGGCTTGCTAGTCTCACTGCGTCAGCCCTGTGCGGTGTTCATATTAAGCCTGCTGAAAAACGATCTGAGACGATCAAAGAGTTGGTTCAAAGACGATTAGAATCTAAGTCGAATCATTCCCTTATTACAGTCGGTAGCGTCAGCTGGGATGATTTCACTACTTGGGCCGAAATCATCTGCAACTCAACTGAAACTTCCGAGTGCGACACCAGTTCTGCTATCAAGGCCGAGAAGAAAGCGGAAACCCCCAGTGATATAACAACCCCTCCTAGATCTAAGGCAGAAGTGAAGTCGCAAGATAGGGAAGACAGCCATGTCGAAGTTCCGATTCAGAGACCGAACCCTGTGAAACGCGTGACCTCGATTCCACTAGCTGCTCAGAAAACCAAAGCTTTGAAAAATAACGAGCCGTCGGAACCAGATGTTGCGGATTCGCCTCTTTCGGATATACCGCTTAGACATCAATCTTCACTGCCTTCTACATGGGACATTTCCCCACTTGGAAAATTTCGGCCCTGGCAACCAAAGAGGACTAAGGGAAAATCCGTCGGTCAAGTCCTGCAAGATCTTGTCCGGAAAGATCTTTCGGCATATGAATTGAAATCTGGATACATTTACATCTTCTGGTTGAAGGGTAAGTTCGGCCTCCTGAAGATTGGATTTACGAAAAACGTGGATCGGCGTTTGAAGCAATGGGCCAAACAATGTAAGCAGGAATACCAACTCCACAAACGCTCCTGGGCAGGAGAACTTGTTCATATACCTCATGTCAGCCGCGTGGAGAAACTCATCCATGCCGAATTCAAGGATATCCGGATGGTAATGACGTGCGAAGGGTGCGGCAAGGAACACAAGGAGTGGTTTCAAATACCCGAGAAGCAGGCAGTGAAAGTCTTTCAGAAATGGAAGGACTGGGTGCTGCGGTCTCCTTATGGCGAATCTACTGGAGCCTGGAAACTGAAGCCTGAATTTGCAAAGGAGCTTGAACAAGTTTGCCGTCCTCTGGATCCAGTGTCGACGAATAAACCTTCACTTCGGCCGAAAAATGCGACCCGCAGGTCGAGCAGAAGACTGGGAAAGCGGAAGTCGAACGCCTAACCGAATGCTTGCCCGCCCTGATGTAGGATTTCCATGTTTGAGAGATTTCGAACGCGCATGTATTTTCTCTGGTTCTTTAATGACATTCATCTCACCTCGAATGCGAAACGAGCAGGACGAGCCTAGATGGACACATGGGCTTGTAGATTGGGCTGGCCCTAATCTACTGCTCGGCACATCCCTGCCTCCATTCTGCCCTGGCTTAGTTCTCTGTTATCCTATGATGCCGCCCCTAACCCGGGACCTAAATATAATTCTGTTTCCTTGACTTCAAATTACAATTGTGTTCTGTGCATTGCTTAGGAAGCTAATCCACAAGTTCGCTGACAGTACCATGACATCCATTTATTTAGGTTCATCTTATTCCGGCTGTAGAACACCCCAAAAGATAACGCAAAAATCGTATTTTCGAAGTGCTGGAACTTGCAATGAACTGAGCAAATTGGGAAGAACCCCAGAGTAGAGTGTTTATCACGTGGATCCGACATTAGTCATCTTACCTCCAAACGTCCCCACACTTCCACAAAGACAACCTTCATCACCGTGCATCTTAATGGCCCTTGCAACCACTATGGCTGCTGCCCTGTAAGATTTGTTCATCCTTCAATCCCGTGCTTTCAGGTCATTTCACCGACTGAACGAATAACGCACCTCGCTTCCGCACCCCCTGGAGCCCACAAAGCCCATGGGTCCATCTAAAAATCATTCAATGCCTTTGGCTCTAATAGCGCCACATCAAATACTTTAACTTCATGTTATCTTTCTCTCTATCTGGATGATGTAAATTCTTTTTCTTTTTTTTTAATAGCAAAAACCCCTAAATTTATTATCAACAAAAAAGCTAAAAAAAAAAAAAAAAGAGACGATGTTCTGCATCGGCCGGCTACTTAAACGTCAGAACTCACATTTCGAGTGATAAATCTCGAAAGACTTACGAATCGAACCCGGGGCTAGCCGATGGCAACGGCTAATTTTACTAGGAGCCGTCAGTTCAAGTGTGCGATTGCCGAGAGAGAGGATGCACTAACCCACTAAACCACCGATGCTGGATTTACTTGATGATAGATGATTTCGGAAATTAATCAGTATACATAAGCCCAGAAAAGGTCGGTTTTTTGAAGAAGAAACTGAGAAGGGAACGAGGAAAGAGACAGATCGCGGGGAAGGTACGCCGCTAGTTTCTTCTCCAGCGTGGAGAACTCGGGCCGAACTCACTTGAAGAAAGCATGCACGTGGTTTGATGTTCTCCATCTACCATGGAACCCTAGCACGGTTTGATATTGAACCCACCACATTTTGTCATAACTCTGTTTACTTATTTGGCCTACTTAAGCTCAGACTTTATCCCCTCTCGTCAATCGTGAAGGCCTCGAGCGTACGATAAGCTCCTCAATTGTGCTGCACTAACATGTAGCCCTAGCAATAGTACGGCTTCTCCCCACACACCACTGCCCACATCGTCATCGACATCGCCTACCGAACTATCGAGACTGCTATACTTCATCCTACTATCTGACCGAATCCATATTAACCGGTCTCCATTGCATTCAGAACCTTCGCTACTCGAGGGGGGCTACAGAGTCCCGTCAAATCCTGGCCAAACTATACCGCTAGCATGTTGGGCGAGACTGAATGCGCACTACTAGATCGCTCGCCAACTCGCTGCGCACGCTTGCATTTATTTAAGGATTCATCTCAGGATTCATTTTTTTCTGCTGATTAGGTTGAGTTTTAGTAAAAGAGAGACATTTAAGAAATCGTTAGAGTTAGATTGACGGCGGTAGTTTCATTCCCAGACACTCCCGCATCTGGAAAGCAACAACCAGAAGGAATAACACCTTCGCGCACACATGATGCGTTTGTCCCCGTGCGATTCGAGGTTGAAAATCACGGATGCAAGAAGCATGAAAGACGGGTAAGGGCAGTGGACATATGGTGCTCTAGTTCTAACTTAGATCCTTCGATATATGGAGAATGAAGTATGCATACGGTTTCGTATTCTTATCGGATCCTTCTATTAGGTCCTGTTTTATTCCAAGCTTCCTTCATTCCTTGTGCACTGTCTTTGTGCTCGCGATGCAGTGCAAGAGAGTTGACATGAGTGCTTTCCAAGATCCCCAACGCTGCACATACGAAAAGCAAATTAAAGTGAAAGTCCAGGCGCTGGATAACTGGCAGTGAAGTGCTCTTGGCATGAATCCAAAGTACATTGATCCAACTTGGTATTGTTCGAGAATCATGGCCAAATGTCACTCCTACTTCTCGCCCTCGCATCGCCAAAAAAGGAAAACTAGCACGCGTGTATGCCTAAAGGACTCTCTACCCTTGTCGACCACAATGCATCGAACGGTGGGGCTTCCTGGAATGCAAATCCTTCAGCCTAGCTGATGTCGCAGGATTACCTTCACTGGGGTAAAGCCCCTACTTCCGAAAACGGCCCCAATGTAAGACATGTCCTTGACAACAAGCTTTACGCCCGGGGACATCGCTCCACAATCTAGTTTCGACATCTGTTGCTAGAAAATATGCGTTTAATGTGCGAGTTTAGAAAGATGATTGTTGTGATAGTTGTTAAGTCGTGTGCGCCAATGCGCTGGCCATGACTCTGTCCAAGGTGATTCGCTGGTCGGGATTCACCTCCAACATGCTTGCAACGACGTCCCTAGCCAGTTCCGGGATTTGGCAAAGGAGAGTGTCTGACTCGGGGTTGAGCTCCATGTCTATATGGAGTTAGCGCCTGTGCAGTACCACGAATATCGCCATGTTCTTAAGAACAAAGCACATTGTGATTCTTGTGGTCAGTGCTGGGAGGGTGAACCTACTTGCATGTCGAACTTCATGCAGACCTTCAGCGCCACAATCGAGATCCTCCTCCCTTTCGCGCACGTACTCCTGGAATGTTTCATCTTCTGAAAGCGCACCGACAATTGCCTCAGGTTCCCAAGGGTAGACGCCAAGCCACAACCTGACGAAGATGATTCCTAAGGACCATACATCGGCGGCTTCGAGATCGTAGAAAGATTCTCCATGAGTTTCAGGCGCCATGGTGATGGGTGTGCCGACCCAGTTTTCTATGCTGAAGATTTTGTGATGAGAAGGAACTAAGAGACATGTTAAAATTCCCATAGTTCAAAAATGAGGCGTAGACAAACCAACATACCATTCCCTTGTGTACTGCAGATGTCGCTAGTCTGCAGTAAATCTCGCGACGCTGCAGCACTGCCAAAATCGATGACTTTAACAACACCATTCCGCGCCACCATAATATTCTCAATCTTAAGATCGCGATGCGCAAGTCCACGGGAATGCATATATGCAACAGCATCCAGAACCTGTCTAAATAAGCAACTAACCTCTTCAAACCCCCATTCTCTCCCCTGCCAGGTATCATGATCCAAAAGATCCAACAGCGGAAAAGGGACATGATCCATTTCCATAACCCAGGCACTGCTGTCATTATCGTAATGTAGTGAATGCGACCGAGCTAGATTTTGATGCGAGAGCGAATGACCTATCCAGTATTCGTGATGGATTTCGTGGGGGAGAGTGTGTTCGGGGTCGAAGCGCTTGATCGCGAGGGAATTCGTTGAGAGGTAGATTTGCCCATCGGTGCCTTCGCCGATGCTTGATTTTGGATGGCGAGCCGATTGCTCAGAGGCTAGAATGTTGTAGATATGGTTGAGGTCGACATTTTTGGAATTGCATTGCCAGGGCAGTGATTTTGTTGGGCGAGAATGTAATAACAGGAGTCCAGGGATTACGAAAAATACCTTGACGCCCCACATGATATCGACGGCAGTTGTGAGTTTTCCGCCGACTTGCTCTAGTTGTTCTAGTTGTTCTAGATGTTTTTGTGTCTGGCGAGGCGGTGTAAATGGCCACCGATTTCTGTCTGAACAATGGTGCGAGGTACCCGACCCTTCCCTGAGGACGATGAGGTTAGCCCCAAAACCGCATAAGCCAATATAATCAGAGCCACAGAGAGCGTGAGCACGTATCTGAACATATAAGATTGATGCATAAAGCTGAAGTAAGCAAGCATCAGACTACTAACTCATAACCCCAAGTAGTGGTCTTCGAACCTCGGAATCATCCGAGACGACACGGTCCAATTCCAACGAGAAGATAATCCCCGAACTCCACCAGGCTGTGCCAAACCCCGGCCCTCGCCACTTTAGTCCTGAGTTTGGTGAAAGAAAGACGACGATGCCAACCCTTTTATATCGCAAATTTGCTAATTCCGGTAATGCAACACAAGACCTTGTACGAGTTCAAGTAAAGAGTGGCAAGGTTGGTCCAACAATTAGTTCCTTCGGTATGCGACGTCACCCAATAGCAAGCCTGCAATCCCCAGGCGAGGATGTTGTCAGGGCGCTCGCACCGAGAGAGAGTCGAAACTTTGGATACTGACTGCGCCTTCATGATCCTGCGGTCACGCGGTAGTGCCTTGCCTAAGATGTGAGAACTTACTAGCGACGAGTGAATCAGGAGGAAGCGTCTGATGCAGCTGTGTACTTTTGGTCGGCCAGTGCGGGACCAACGATGTGTCGGGGGTTGTTGAATTCTAGAGGTTGCGACGTGAATATAAAGCCCATAGACTCCCACCGACCGAGAACTAGACCTTGACACTCAAATCTCTTCAAAAATTCTTCACTTCCTTTCCATACATCCTTCGTTCTCCTTCAATCTTCAACCATGAAGTTCTCCGCGCTCTTTGCAAGCACTCTTCTTGCTAGTACCGTCTCGGCGGCCGTCATTCCTGCCCCGGCGGCAGCAGGTGTGGTTGCACGTGATGCGGTCGAATTCTCCAAGCGCGAAGCGGTAGCCAGCCCGCCCCATAAGACAATCAAGCGGGCTCCATGGAAGAGGAGTCCGCCGCACAAGACTATCAAGCGGGAGGCTTCCCCTCCCCACAAGACCATCAAACGCGAGGCTTCCCCTCCTCACAAGACCATCAAACGCGAGGCTTCCCCTCCCCACAAGACCATCAAACGCGAGGCTTCCCCTCCCCACAAGACCATCAAACGCGAGGCTTCCCCACCTCACAAGACTATCAAGCGTGAGGCTGAACCCAATGCTAGCCCGCCGCACAAGACTATCAAGCGTGAGGCAGAGGCTAGCCCGCCTCACAAGACGATCAAGAGGGAGGCATCTCCTCCTCATAAGACCATCAAACGGGATCCATCTCCTCCTCACAAGACAATCAAGCGGGACCCGTCTCCTCCTCACAAGACGATCAAGAGGGATCCCTCCCCTCCCCACAAGACAATTAAGCGTGAGGCTGAACCCATTGCTAGCCCACCACACAAAACTATCAAACGTGAGGCTAGCCCGCCGCACAAGACCATCTAGATGGAGTGGAGCACCTTTGAAGGGCGAGAGGGAAGCTGGGGGG